GTGTGTGTGTTTTTATTTAACCCTGGTGCATTTTCTGTTTACTATTATTCTCTGTGAACCAAAGCTCGCTGCAAGAAACTTATAAATACAGAGATAGCTTACAGGCTTTAAAACATAAAAAGCAGAGAATGTTTTGGATTTGAAAATCATAAATTATAATTTAATGCCAATAACAATTTACAACAAATGGTTGTTTACAATAAACTAACACAAAACAAACAAGTCAAGATCCTGTGTTCTTAGTAAGCATAAAAACTTCACACACACACACTCACATGGATAGCACTTGCAATAGAAAAAGCTAAATCTAGAGGTCAGCAATCCCCTGCAATAATAGTATATTTATATATTTATATATATTTATATATTTATAGAAAAGGAGCCATGATTCAGATGTAAAACTCTGCTCAAATTCACAGTCATACGCCCCTCAGCCCCCAGTACAGATGTGCCTAACTGGAACACACTAAAGATCAGGGTTTAATCGACTTTACAGAATGATCTCTCTCCCTCCCTCTCTCTCTTTTTGTGAAACCACAACATGGTGTAGTTACGTGTGGTAAAAAGGGAGAGGGGGAAGCCTCAGACAAGAACAAAATTGCAAGCTTTCACATACAAAGCATCTGCTATAGACCAAGGGGAGGGCGGGCGGGGGGAGAGAGAAAGAAAAGAAAAAAAAAAATAAATGACACGCACACACACAAAACAAAATATCAACCCCTTGCAAAACCACATCATCTTGCCTTCCTTCAGATTTGGGTTTTTGGGTGGGTTTTTTTTTGTTTGTTTGTTTGTTTGGTTTTTTTTTTTTTTGCCTGCACGGGATAGCACTCAATTCCCCAGTGGTGTGTCCCGTCCTGTGCCACCCGCCCAGGCAGGTCCCACTCCCGGTGGGAGCTGTGCCTGTGCCAGGGCTGCAGGACAGGGCCCTGTGCCTACACAGGGAAGATGCATGTACGCCCACGCGTGTAGGGATGCCAGGATACACACAGACATGTAGCCCATATGTAAAATAGAGAGATGACCTGTGGTCATGCTTTCACAGTCTAAGGTAAAAAAAAAAAAATCAAAAAAAAAAATCAAATCCACTTGAGAGTATATATACATTAAAAACCGACTCCTCAGTGCTAGAAGCTAAAGCCACTCCATTTGAAGACCTTTCAATGACAACGATAGATGGCAACTACGGAGTATTATAAAAAATCACACATACTTAAAGAAAACTCATTGCAAACAACTGACCTATATTTACAATACTGCTATTACCTTGCTCGAATGATCTTGTGCGCGTATGTCAGACATTTACAAAAGATTTTTCGCCCCATTCTGATCATAAAATAGATACTGATCTCCAGATTTCTAATACTTTTTCACAACAATACCTTTCCTACGCAGGCACTTAAGTGTGACAAAAATAAGGGCCTTTTTTTTTTTTTTCCAGAAAATCCATTTTTAAATAACAGGAGGATTAGATGAATGGGGGTTGATGGTTTACCATTTCAGCATAGTACTTCCTAAAACCAGAGATAAACCAAGAACTTAAGTCCTCCACCCCCATCCCGGAATTAAACAGGTAAATACACTACAATACATCTGCTACAAACTTACTGTGACAAGTAAACAAATCAATCGCCTATGGACTTAGATGACTGCAAACTATAGAGAAGTAAGGTGGTTTCTGAAAGACATTTATGACAGCCAAACAAGTTTCAGATATCAAATAATATTTTAATTTCTGAATACTTTCAATTTTCCTTGGAATATAACACACAAAGACTCGACCAAACAGTTCAGTTATTATAACTTTTACAGTATACAGAAATGTTGCACTTAAAAAAAAAAAAACCTTCAGTTTTTTTAAACACAAAACTGTAAACTCTAAGATACTGAATCAATCACGTTATCTATAAGTGCCAACAGTGTTATTTTGTCATGCTGATTTCAATGGTATTTTTTAAAAAGGGAAAATATCAACAATTATTATAATACAAAGGGCTTGCAAATATACAAACAGATAGAGGAGTTTAATAACAATTCATGATGAACTATGTGGAACCCAATTCAAATTACAAAAGTTCACTTTGCTTGTTTGCTTGTTTTTGTTTTTTTTTTTTAAATCAAAACCGTAGTGTGTCTTGGACACAAAATCCTTCTACCTATAATAAGTCCCCACAGTTCATTTTCTGTCCGAAATATCAAAAAAACCTAGATTTGGGGGGAGTTATGTGACACGTGTGGTTCATTCGGGTCTATATAATTATAGCTCTCTCAGCTTCAAGCTAGATTTTGGGTCACCACCTTAAGTGCGCTTCCATCATTGTGTTGTTGAGGGGTTTTTTTCTCTTTTCCTTTCTTCCTATGATACTTTCGTGGACTCAGTTTTAATTCTTTCAGAACATATATTTTAAGGATACACAGTTTATTTTTTTTTTTTTAAAGAAGCCAAGGTTATATCAAAAATTATTATAGAACCACAGAATAAACTGGTTTGAAACCAGAAAAATACAAAAAAGAACAGCTATAGGTACATAGACACATAGGACAATTAATAATTTGGAAAAAAAAGACTTACTTTCTTCCGTTCTGCTAATTTTCTCCAAATTTCCTTTAAATGCACTTTAAGCGAGATTTTTTTAAAAAGTTTACCCCAAAAAAAGAAAAAAAAAGAAGAAAAAAGAAAAAAAGAAAAAGCCCACCATCGTTTCTTTTCTTCTTCTTTCTTTTTTTCTTTCCCTCTTTTTTATTTTTTACAAAAAAAATGATAAGTAGCAAGTTTTTTTTCTGAACGACACGGGAGTTTTTAATGCATTCTGTAAAAGTTCATTTGACAGTCTCTTTTTTTAATTCACAGTCCATTAATTTTTTCCTGTCTTCTCTTAGCAAACTTGTAACATCCTTTTACATCCTTTCTTAGCAGAAGGAAATTTAAGAAACAACCAGAACCCAAATGTCATTTGCTTTCCTTTCACTCTCATCTCCCTTCTCAATTTTTAAATTTTTTTTTTTTTTAAGATTTTTTTTTTTTTTTTTCTCTCTCTCTCTCTCTCTCGAATGTTTTATTGAATGGACATGTAAGGCC